ATAATTTTTTATTGGGTGTACCATCAAAGAAAAAAGTCGTGTCGCGGTTTTGTCTGAAGATTAAATATAACTAGTGAAACATTTGGTGCGCTCTGGCTTGTGGTAGGGGGCCTACCACAAGGGAGAGCGCACCAAAAGTTTAGCCGTTCGGCATAAGTTTTCACCAAATTTTACGACACAACTTTTGTATTTCATTGTACAGTCTCATTCCAGATTCTTCGAACACTGCTGGAGACAGCTGGCAACTCAAGGCTGTTTTTTGCTATAGTAAGTAGTATAATATATTTCTAAACAACAAAGCTCAACCATTAAATTAAGCAACGGGGAACTGAGTCACCAATCACCGATCACGTTTACATTTATTCATAATTTTTACTACGTACAATGTATACTAAAGAAACGGCCTTGAGTTGCCGTGTTCTATGTGTTCTATGAATCTTGAACGAGATTATACATATATATTGTGATGGATCGGTATTAAGTAACGGTCAAGCGGGATGTGATGTTTTTATAAGGGATTTTATCAATGAGTGTTATGCAGATGAAACAGTTTGTAAAAGAATTAGTAACAACACCTCATCCACGCTGGCTGAACTACATGCAATTTGTGAAGGACTCTAGGTTGCTATAGAAAAATGTAAGGAAACATATATTTTTGTTGATAGTAAAAGTGCATTGGAAGCCTTGCAGAGTAAAAATCCATGTAACTTTAATACTGTTAATATCTGTACCCGATTGGTCATAGTAATTAAAGAAATGGAATGTACTGTGCAGTTTGTATGTGGGGATTCATTTAAATGAAATGGCTGACAAATTGGCCAAAAAAGCTGCAGAAAAGATGCAAAAGGATATTGTTAGCAATGTAAGTATTAGAACGATAAAGAGGGAAATGAAAAGAAAAGGAGAGGAATCGGAAAAAGCAAGAAGAGAAGTGATTGCCATATGTCGCGAGAGTTTTCAGCATTAGTCGTATTTTTTATAAAACACCAATGAAACTTAAGGGACTAACTTACGATCTGAGACTAAGATTGGGATACAAATATTACTGGTAGATAAGTGGTGGGGCGGGTCAACCTTGTCATCTGTGTCATCTTAGGGATGCACATACACTGCAACATTATATATTAGGATGTGAAAAAATCAAACCAAATTGGAACAGTAAGATCACTACTTTAAAGAAACAAGTTTGTTGGATGATTAATAATGGAAATATTAAAATAATTCTTGCAATGTATAAAAATTTTTGCTCCAAGGATATGACATTTAACTTTGTGTAGGATTACATTACCTGTTCTTTTAATTTAGTGCAGTGTTCACGTCAAAATGAACTATTTCATTAATGTAAAAAATAATTATTGTATTGTTATAAAATTCATTACTTTTTGGAAGCCCCAGAAGGGGATGGCAATGGTGAGGGTGGGAGTAGTATACTACCTTGTCCTTTTAATGTAATAGTTTGATTGTCAATAAAGTATTTGAATTTCAATGAGTTTCCTTAATACTGAGTTTCACAATCTGCCTATTCATGTTTTTAATGATATGTTTGATTTATAAGGAGTGACTAAGTAAATGAATGGTACTTGATATTAAAGTGAACAGCTACAGCAATATACTGTACAGTATATCGATCTACATGGGATCTGCCATGTTAATGACATGTAATGACATTGGTTTAACATCGAAATAAGATTTCAAATCAGAGGACATTAATGTAGTTGTAAGTTTCAGTGTGGAACCAGATGTTTCATGGCACCAAACCCATAGTTATACTGTGGATTTGCTCAAATCAGTTCCCAGCGTTATCTCAGCATTTCGTATGTATACCGTCGTTGTGAAGGGCAATGATAGCGCCTTTCACATCTTGCGATGTCTCCCCGATAATTATTCGCTCCATTCAATGTAAAATTTCGTTGATGACTGGCACCCCGAGTCAGGTAATAATTGATCTGAAACCTCGGAGGATTCACATCGTTCGAAAACGTATATATTCATTCATGCCTAAAAGTCGCACATGTAGAGCTACCAACAGCTCAGGAACAGGTAGAGTAACATGGTTCGGAAAGCCTCGAATCACATCGACCCCGTGGCGAACGATACTTTTTTGCGGGACTGTACTGTACAGTCCCGGTCAAATGTTCTGTCCCAGCCAGATTAGGCTAACCTGGTTGTGTAGCAACGTCGGAGACACGCATTAAAAGGTGTTTATGTGTGCATATTCTCTATGAACTACAAAATTTATCGATGGTCAATGGTAAAATTATAAAGACTATTTTGTTCTGCATTCCTTTTTAACATAGCATAATCAGTGATATATATATATATATATATATATATATGTGTTAGCGGGAGAGAAAAGGAGAGAAGAGAAGACGGGAATGCTGCATTTAGCAAAAGGGGTGAGGTGCAGTCCTTAGAACAAAATTTTAGGGGGGTCGTATGCATGTTTTCTCAGCACATGAGGACAGTGCTGTCTTTTTTTAGGGGGTCGATTGTGATATCCAGAAATTTCAGAGTAAGTTCAAATGCCCCGCCATGAGTGATACTGAGCGTTCAAGGTCATCTGAGGGGAGGGAGCGCTGCCTGCTCGTAGCGAGAGATTGCGGAACTAGGCCTATATGATATTAAATGTGATTTACCGAATTAATAATGATGCGATTCATGAAGTTAAGGGACTATTATTGAATTTGAAATTATTATAGATCGTTTAGCAGTCTGAATAATGTTACGGGTGTCCCAAGGAGTTATTAGTTAGGCGGAAAATATATCACGTAGGCCCAAGCTAGCGCCTTGGGGAGACGCGACGCTGGCTAGGCCAGTCCCGGAGAGCATTCACACAGACAAGACGTTCCGCGCGTCCATCAGAAATAGTCACGTGGCCTAGTCACCTGTGCTGCGCTATTGCAGTATAACAAGTAAGTCTCATTCGATCTCAGACAGGGTTAGATAGGGCAGTGATAAAGTAAACTAGAGCTAACAGTGAGTTCATTTCAGGGTTTCCGTCAGAACCCACTTGACTGGAGTTGATTGATTGAGTTGACCGGAGTTGACCGAGTTGACTGCGAGAGATTGACTGCCGTTGATGATTGAGGGTGGCGATTGTCGCCATTGGACCGATCAGTGTAGGCCTGTCACTGTTTAGCGGGGTAGCAAAGGATCTCTTGAGTGAACGAGTGCTCCCGACAACTAACACGACACGGGACCAGCATCAGCAGTGGGTGATCAGTTCTTACCACTCCGGTGCACAACCCCACATGTCCCGAGCAGCTAGTGAAACCCTCTTGCTAACGGGAAGCTAAAGTTTCTCTCAACTGCACAAGGTCTGATTGGCTCACTCTCTTCCTGCCCATGGACGCACTGGGAGTACACTGAGGCTATCTGAGTATATTAATGGTCACACACTGAGACCGTGAGTCTAGGACTCTAGGAGATACCTAGAGGAACATTTTATCTTCCTTATCACGGGTGTAGTTAACACCATTCCTCAGACTGATATTATCTTGACGTGTGTAGTTTAATATTTCTTAAATAATTTTGATAGTAGTGTTTTTTTGAATGTTTGTGCCATTAAGTGGAACCAGAGTGATACTGTGATTTGATTCTTTTAATGCCTCTAATTCTTCATAATTCTGATCTCAGGTATAACCTTGTTCCCCAGAGCAGTGGTTAGGTTAGGTTAGGAAGTGTACACCTGTTGGGGTGCTATAATTTTGTTGAGTGATATTATTTTGCTGAAAGCCCTTAAGGCCTATTCATTGTAGAGTATTTAATTTCTTATCTTTTATTACCATTCCTCAGTGACTGATATTATTTTGTTGAAGACCCTTAAGGCCTATTCATTGTGGAGTATTTAATTTCTTATTTTTTAGTACCATTTCCTAATTGACTGATATTATTTTGTGAAAGCCCTTAAGGCCTGTTCATGTGTGCAAACAACATTTCTTAATACTTCAAATTTATTGTTGCCTGTGTTTCTAATAATTTCTATGTCATGTATAACTTTTATTCCCCAGAGTAGTGTTTAAAGTTTAAGTTAAGAGGTGCGCATATTGGTGTACCATTATTTGATTGTGTTTGTAGTGTTGGAGGGAATATAAGTGTCTAAATTTTACAGTGTGTCTCATTCATCCCAGTCACAGACGCTATCCTTCCACGGGTCACGGACAGTTCATTTTGTGTAGTAGATTTAAGTGTTCTTGTGCTGGTTCGGGATTTTTCTCAAAGGGGCGCTTCCACTGCCTTTACCATCTATTAAATTTTAATAAACCCCAAGTCAAGTGAGAAATTAAAGTCCAGCAAATTCCGACCGGTTACATATATATATATATATATATATATATATATATATATATATATATATATATATATATATATATATATATATATATATATATATATATATATATATATATATATATATATATATATATATATATATTTTTTTTTTTTTTTTTTTTTCCGGTGTGGAACCATTACCCAAAAAACCCATTGAAACAATGGTTTGAGTTAACGAACGTTTGGTTAACGAACGACCTTCTGGAGCGGTTGAGTTAGATTAACGAGGGCCACTGTATATATATATAGTATAATTATAGTATATATATATATATATATATATATATATATATATATATATATATATATATATATATATATATATATATATATATATATATATATATATATATATATATATATATATATATATATATATATATATATATATATATATATATATATATATATATATATATATATATATATATATATATATATATATATATATATATATATATATATATATATATATATATATATATATATATATATATATATATATATATATATATATATATATATATATATATATATATATATATATATATATATATATATATGAAATTAAATACTCGTAAATTCAATTAGGTTACCTGTGATGTCTTCTGTAAATAACTGCAACATAAAGTAGCAACCATACGGACATTCTCATATTGACATGTAATATTCTCTGGCCTCATCTAAGACACATTAAAAAAGATTGATGATCTAACCTGAGAGAAGCCAAGGAAGAAGAGTTGCTGGTGGTTTAGGGAGATACCTGGTAGAGCTTTCTCTTCCCCATTCTCTTTCACCCATTCCAGGTAGGCCCGGAAGCTTGCTTTAAGTCCTCCATTGTCAGCTATATTCTCACCTGCAAGTTGCACCAATATTCTTTAGTTTTATGTTCTAGATATAACTGGGAATAGTTTTTTTTTAGTTTAACAAATTTATTGATAAAGCTTGGAGTACAGTTTGCCTATTCTGAGTAAATCAGTCAGGTCTTGACACTGAGGGTGGTATCACTTCTCACTGCCACGCAGGACAGTGGTTCATACACAAAGGAATAGATCACATTCATTAACAGTATATATAGGTCAGATTCATGTGGGTTGATGTCACTGTTCACTGCCATGCAGGACAGAGGTTCATATACATTGGACATCATATTCTAATCGAAGACTAATCAATGTGGACTAGCAAATTTTGGATAAACAGCAAGAATGTCCTCAAGCACCCCTGATTCAATGTAGTAATTACAAATCTCATGATACAATAAGCCAGGTGACCTGAAGTCTTTGACAGTGTCACATTCAATAATTTAGTGTTCAAGTGTATGCTTTAAGGGTTTATCACAAAGTTTTCATGCTGAGTGTTCCGGTATGGGTACAGCGTTACTAACTTGCCAGTTGTGTCTGTATCCTAGCCTAATTCTGGCCACAACTATGTCACATTGTCTAGTTCTGCCCTTATGCTGGCTATACCGGTGTCATGATCGTAATGACGGCTAACCTGTTAAACTAATGATCCATATTACGCTTGCACGTCCACAAAACCTTCTGAGTCTCCCAGTGGAAATGTCCTCCGTTCTCTCTGTTTCTTTGATGACGTCATCGAGATGTCGTATGTTTGTTGACCGAGTTGTAAACTCTTTTGCATCTACCGAAACCCTGTAAACCTTTTTTTTTCACCTATGAATATCAGAGACTCTGATAATCATAGTGAAATTGTGGTAGGGAGGTTAACTGAGGAATTAGTAAATATTCTGAAGGGAACCTTTTTGAATCTGCTCCTCGAGTTTGTAGCAAGGTGCTGCGTGTTGGGACCTGTTGCCATCCATCCTTTTGTGATCAATTTAATTCTTGCTTTTGATAGCTCAGTCAGAGCATTGTTTGTAAAGATAATAGTAGGGAATGAAACTGAGTTCGTAGTCTCAGTTTCAAACGTCAGAGTGTTACAGTAACGTAATTCAGTGAAATGGTTGAGTAGGTGGAATCCGTAACTTTAGCGTGAGTGGAAGGCGGCGGTTCGTTTTTAAACTAGTAAGCGCCACGCTCCTCCACTTACAGGTAGGTCATTCCACCTTCTCCGTGTTGTAATGCACCATTTTTAAGTGATTTGACCGAATTAATAGTTTGATTGCAAGTGTTAAAGTAACCTAGTTAATGTGCTTTGAGTGAAGTATTTTATGTCCTTAATGTCCCTTTGAAACGTTGAGTTCGTTATAAACCGTGAGTAAGCGCCACGCTCCTCCACCCACAGGTCCCTAATGCAGCCTAGGCCGTGTCTGTAGCATGGATGACGCATCCACTAGTCTTGGGAGATGTCTGAGGTCCAGTGGAGTCGGGTGTCCTCTTGAACTCCGACCGTCAGAAGCTCCACTACCACCCATGGGCCCCATGGGGGGTAGTGGATTCCCCTGACGCCATGCCCCCGTGGTGAACCCGGATTGTCAAGCCCCAAACTACTGCCAGCCCCTATCATTGGTGGATGAGTACAGTACATAACTCAGTCGGGCTCTTTGTGTGGTGGTGTTAGTCCACCGGAATTATCTGAGTTTGTTGGAAGGTGTCACCTGGTGATAAGACTCCATGGCGGCCGCTGGAGTATTGCCCCTGGGGTATTGAGTGTTGTACTGGCAGGTGCCACTGGTATCATTGGTACTAAGGTGCTGTGAGAGTTATGTGTGTTTTGGTGTGTGTACACCCAGTAGTGGTGCAAGTAAATTGAGCCTGAGGGAATGGTACCAGGAGTTCCTACTTTGGGTGCATACAATGTCTTTTCTGTAACCATTTTGTGTTTAATAAACAGTGTATTTGTATGTGGGTCTATGATTCACCTATAGTATTCACCTTTGTTCTTTCCCTAAAACTCGATACTATATTTACATGTACCCAGGGGCCTTCCTCTCACATCACGCTACCAGGTCAGAGTATTACGTAAGTTGTTGTAAGAGTGCCAAGCCCTTACAGGGTGGCAGCTTGTGGTGCGCGCTCTTACAAATGGTGGCCTCAGTGGTTCAGCAATAAGTAGTAGCAGCCCCGGCTCATACAAATGGTGGCAGCTAGCTTGTTGTTCCTACCCCCCCGTTACACCGGTACCTCTTGTCATATTTACTTATGCCTTACTGTTTACCATTGTTTGTATAACTGCAGTGCTTAGGTACATCGGTTGTATACCTGTAAGGTCTATGTATACTGTATACCTGCATCATATATATATACATGCTCAAGTTTTATGACAATTTTACTGAATAAATATCTATGTATTTATCTTTAGCATTCTCAACAGTTTTATAGATTAAGTGTGAGATGACATGTGAATAATTAGACAGAATATTCTAAATAGCTTTGACATACAGTAGAACTTCATATTCCCAGCACTTGTTTGTTGGGACAGATCCAGGAATTTTGTGGTTTTCTGAGCAAGGTCTTGTGTTCTAAATATATGAAGACTAGAGCATGCAGTACAGTACCTACCCAATGTTAGTTTGCCATTTAAATGCTCTCCTCGTAGGCTGTATCCTGAGTACTGTTCTACCATGCACTGAGTTAGGTCCTTGAATTTATCTGCAGTCTCCTGTTGCCACCATTGGTTTAAGTTGCCATCCTTGTCATACTTTCTTCCTAAAAAAATAGGAGCATGGTGAATTCTTTAATAAATTTGATATCAGTAAGTACGCATGCTTTCAACTGAAGTTCAGATATATCAAACACATTGTATTTCTTTGTGACTTTCTTCCTCTTTTCTTCGCTCTTTCTTTGGTCTCACTAACAATAGAGTGACATCAATGACATACAGTAATCCCTGGATTATATAATACTGTAGACAGATATTTAACACATTATGACAAAATGTAGGAACCAAATTGTGGAACTTCCTTGAAGTGATAAAGCATGCAAGTAATTAATGAGTTAAGGCCTGACTTATCTGAGGGCCGGAAACACGCAGGAGCAAAAACTGTTAGTTAAGTAGTTCTAATGTCAATATATTACAATATCTCTCGATGAATAAGATGAGATACTGTACTGATTTTTTTAAAACCTTTCCTCCTTTCGGTAAAGTAGTTGACAATACTGTATGTGTTTACCCTTGTAACAACAAATGCAGTAGTGGGTGGTGTGGTGACCTCACCAGAACCTCAGGGTCTCCCATGTGTGACTCTGTTGTAGCTTCACTGTGCCATCTTGAGGCAAGAACAGTAACATAATATTACAGAATTACATCTTAGTTTTCCCATGACTAATCATATTATAGCAGATAAGGTGCATCACAAGATGGGGCAAATTAGCACAGTTTGATGTGTGAGAGGAGAGAAGGTGTTAGGGAGGGTAGAATGGCTCAGTAACACAATACTGACTGAAGCAAATTACTGTGTTGTATTTTGAGGTCTGTACTACAAATATCACAACAAGAAACAATTTAACAGTTTTACATTGTTATATCCCATTTACTACCATGTCTTCCAAATTTCTTTGTGTAAGCGCTCCCCAACTTAAATAGGTGCCCTTTTTCTTTTCACAAACCTTTATAAATACTGTATAGTAGAAGGCCACTTCTTAGAAATATTAATATCACTGTCTGAAACCCATGAGTGTGCATATAAATTCTCATCATATGAATAGAAACTTTAATGAGGGGTGTCAGTGGTACAGCGGTATCACACTTGCTTCTCACCATTGCATCCTGGGTTTGATTCTGAGTTGGATGTGACAACAGTGTTGTCCAGTGTGACCCTACCAAACTTTGCAGGTTTTCTCTGGGTACTCCGGTTTCCTCCTGAGTAAAGTACCTCACTGGACTTCTAGGAAAACCAGTTAGTCATAACTAATATGAGCTATTCAGTACTGTATAAATATGTACAGTACATAAAAAACTTATCTGTAAATTTCTATAACATATTTTCAAACACCAAATCACATCTTCATACAAACCTTGATCATCAAAGGCATGTGCCAGCTCATGTCCCATGACTACACCCACTGCACCATAGTTGAGTGACTTAGGATTGTCATTGTAGAAGAATGGTGCCTGGAGTATACCCGCTGGGAAGACAATGTCATTCCTGTTTAGGAAAAGTTGAGATAGAGTAAGAAACCAAGTACTGTACAGTACAATAAAAACCCCATAATCTGTACCCCTCAAATGCAAAATCACTCATAATTCATAATGTTTTGCTGTTACAAAATATATACAAGTATATTAAAAAAAAATTTAAAACTGTACAGTATTTGGTAAAATTTCGAAATCCTGTAGGAGACATTTAAAAAAATTATGATATACAGTACAATATACCCGTATATTAAAATTTTCATAATATTTGGCACACACACACAGACACACACACACACACACACACACAAGTATTCATACATACATACAAACATACATACATACATACATACATACATACATACACAGACTCTGAGTCAGACTCACACAAAAGAGTGAGTTCAGCAGCCTCTTCAGGGGAAGGAAAATGTTGCTTGTGTGACATGATGCATGTTTGCGAGTGAGGCAGTAATTGACGCCTGGTCCTGTGAGGTGTGACAGTGCTGCAGAGCTGGCAGTGTTGTCAAAATATAAGCCTAGAGGTGTTTGAAACACTTCCCCCAAAAACAAGCAACTTGCACTGCATGTAATGCCATGAGGTGCCTGTACTGGTAACATTTCATCACAGATATATCCGTGATTTGCTCCAGCTGACACCAATTGTTCATCACGGATATATCCGTGACTGATGTCCAACAGATTAAGAGTTAATGATGAGATTCAGACTGTTAGCAAGCATTACAACATCTAGTTTGTTTAACTGAAATGCCCGGAAGATTAGATGGGAGGCCAATTTTTATAAAAAAATAAAAAATAAATAATAAGTAGTAGATCTTCTGACTTGCCTTCAGTTACTGTGAACTACTCGATCTACTCAGTGATCTAATGTCTGAAAGCTTGTTGTCATCCACAGCTGAGACTCTTACAGTTACCACCAGTCATCTGATCTCTTTTGTTGAGCAGAGAAATTTTGAATATCTCTGAGCAGCATGAAACCTAAGATTGACATACATTATGGGTCATTCAAAAAAATAAATTACAATTAAAAAAAAATATTTTGGCTTACCTTGTTGGAGAATAATAAGCATTTACTGTGGGTGGAGACATGTCCCAACGTGTCTTATTCACCGGCTTATACAAGCGACCGAGGTTCTCTTTGAAGTTGAAGATGCTCACACGAATATTATTCTTAAAGAACTCATTTTCTTTTATTTTTAGGTCAGCATATTTTGCATCCAGCTCCCCTTGGTCAAGGATATAGTCTGCAAAACCTGAAGTAGGAAATAAAATATTGAAAAAATTGTGTAGAATATTAAAATTTGACTGATATACAAGAGCAATGGTGGAAACTTAAAAAGAAAAAGAAAAAAAGAGGATAGTAGACTGAAATAAAAAATTCCACTTTGTAGCTGAAGGAGAGAAACAAGTGACCTACAGAGTCCATACCGTTAACAACACTGTCTGATACTGCCTACCCTTGCCAGAGAGCTTTGACGTGTTAAACATCAGGACAGATTATCCTGAAGGACATAAATTACAATATTTGTTTTGTAACTGAAACAACAAACACAAGTTTGAGATAAGTAACATCACTTGGTAATTATATAAGACTAACCCACGAGTGAAATTGATTGAAAACAATTATAAAACGCCGGATTTTCATTGTTATATTACAGTAAAAGTCCAAAAATCCGGATGCCAGAAATCCGGACCACCCGAGAATCCGGACTTATCGAAAAATAAATTTTTGTTTATTTATTTATTTTTTTTATAAATTTAGCTGGCTTTTGTGTGTATGTGCGCATGCGTGAGTGCCACAGCTGCACAACAACAACAACAAGAGACCACGAGGTCGCCACTTTAAAACGAGCAATCAAACTGTGACAACGAGTCCTACTCTTTCCATTTACAGAGTATTGTACAAGCCCATAATAATGGCTCCTAAAGTAGATAAACTTCGTTGTGTGAAGAGAAAGAAGAACACGTTGAAATTGAGTGACAAACCTGAAATAATTAAGAAACTAGAACGTGGTGTGAGCAATACTGTTCTAATGGAAACACGACATTGGAAAGTCTACAATTTATGATATAAAAAAGGCAAAGAATAAAATTCTAGAATTCACAGCTTTTTCTTTAAAACTGCTTGTTTTGATAAATGAAGCATGCTATATTTGCTAATGAATAAACTATCAAAATGTACTTGTTCATCTCTTCTTTATTCCGCCTTAAATTTGAATTTTAAAAGTACTGCCTGAGCCAAAAATCCGGACCGACCCAATCCCCAAGCAATCCGGATTTTTGGACTTCTACTGTATAGTGGATATTGTTGTAGTTTGTGGAAATACAGTATGTTAAAAAATTTATATTTTTAAAATTTTTGCGACTTAACATTTGTGGATATGAAGAACAGAACCTAACCAATCAAACCAAACAAACCCACCTAACCTTACCTAACTTCCACAGTATATTAAACAGAAAGAACTTACTATGATATGGTGAAATTTGAGGCATTTTCTGGATGTGAGATGATGCGGCCGCATAGGCTCTATGCAGCCCTGGTGGGTTAGTCTTATATATTAACCCATCACTTTGCTTACCTTACATGTACAGGGTATCATTATACTGTACTTCTGCTTCAAACAAGAAGGGATGTACAGTATTACCCCGCCTAACGCGGTTTCACTTAACGCGTTTTATCATATACGCGGTGCCTCGCCAGAGCTGAACTTTCACTTAACACAGATTTTTTCCACATATACGCGGTGAGTGTCCGGCTCGAGACGAGACGCTATTTTTAGATTTGCCCCACCCGCCACCCTGCCTGACTGCCTGTTTTAGCTCATAAAATTCATACAAATTACCCGGCCAGAATATAATTTACATTGCTGGAATTCTTATAATTTGGTGATCATTTTGAATATAAACATCATATATTTTGCATTAGACATACAAATTTTAGATAAAAATTTTTCTCAGAGTAACTATGTTATCTTTTGTGCAAAATATATGACATTTATATTCAAAATATTCCTGGTCTTACAAGGAATCCAGCAATGTCAATTATATTATCCTAACTTTAGTTTGAGGTATTATTTATTAAAATTTAGTGGTTATCCCACACATCTCCTTGGGACGGTTGGTGGGGGGTGGGGGGGAGGGAGGGACCGACCGACCATCTGTTACCCGTGAAGAATTATTTTTTTTTTTATTAACTGAAGATATTTGTTTTAGCTCATAAAATTCATACAAATTACCGGTCAGAATATAATTTACATTGCTGGAATTCTTATAATTTGGTGATCATTTTGAATATAAACATCATATATTTTGCATTAAACATACAAATTTTAGATAAAAATTTTTCTCTAGGTAACTATGTTATCTTTTGTGCAAAATATATGACATTTATATTCAAAATATTCCTGGTCTTACAAGGAATCCAGCAATGTCAATTGTATTATCCTAACTTTAGTTTGAGGTATTATTTATTAAAATTTAGTGGTTTTCCCCCAAAAATTTCTCAGAGAGGGAAGAGCCGGCAGTGTAGTGTGAGAGGGGGAGGGAGTTGAGTCCATTATTTGAATGGACATTAACTTGGCGACTGTATTTCTCTATTTCTCTTAAGTATTAATTGTGTGCATGTACCATCATAAAATTAAGATGTTATTTTTACTACAACATAGGTATGTGCCTTCAAAAAGTGGAGTTTGGGGGTCGGGCCGGTTTCTATTGGAATTAATCCCATATGTTCTGTTGTTCACTTAACGCGGATTTCACTTAACGCGGGACCCTCTGGGTTCAATTGACCGCGTTAAGTGGGGTACAACTGTAGTTAAGTATTAAAGGCACAGATAAATTGTTTTAGGCTTATTTCAGAGTTGCAAATAGAAAAACAAAGCAAAAGCAACTAAAAAAAAATTATGATACATGACATTTAATATTTATACAAATCAAATTCTAAAGTTGCTGAGTCTTTACTACATCACACATTGCAAACAACACGTTCTGATTTAGTTAAGCATCTTCATAACCATGACCAGTGTCTGCATTCAATTATTTAAAGAGAAAGATAAGTTTTGCTTCTTTTACTGTACCAAAGTAGTTCCTCATTTTCGAATGAACAAGTCCATAGGAGGAGAGTCAACACCTGAAGATGAGGCTACTGCTAACAGGATTTGTTGTACTGCTAAAAAAATTGATTGAAATAAAAAAAAAATCTGATTTAAATCAAATACAGTGATCCCTCGGTTAGCAGTTACTTGAG